CATTCAATGTCGGAATCACAAAGCACACAGTGCGGAGGGCCAGACGGGCCATCAAATGTATAAAGAGGCCCGTGTGTTGTATYTTTTTCTCTGTGACGCCTCACAACATTCAAAGTGAACATGCATAGATGAGTGTAGACGACGGGGAAGGTTCGAGAGAGAGGCAGAAAAGCATAGAGTTAGTTCGAGTCCGGATGCATCCGAGTATGCGGGCAGAACATCACACCACACAAGGCACAAAATGAAGAAAGCGAGATATTCAATCACGAAACAGGCGCCCCAACAACGGGGATGTTCGTGATAATTGAAATCCAATGAGAAAGAACAATATTGTCGACGACAAACACGTTGGGGACATGACAAGCTCACCCGGAGATATCCTGGCAGTGACAGTCAGTTCTGCTCTGAACCAAACCGAGAACACCCACCAGTCCCTCACGGAAAAAATGAAAAGGAAGAAATTTCGTCCGGAGAAGAACGAAATGTTCTTCTACGTCAACCCTTCTACACTACATGATCAACAAAGAGATAGACGCTTACCTACCAACATCGCAAATCGCCAAAGCTAGTCTAGCTCTGATAGAGGAGATGTGTCTATGGGAGAAACCAAAAGGTGGACGTAAACCTCTCGCCAAACTGGAAGCGAACATCAACATGAACACCCCACAACTAGCCCCGTCGTGCTGCCGAGGGACACCTTTCACGCCGACCTCGCGAGCGAAGTGGTCGAAAGTGCGACCATCACCTGCGGCACCTACCACCGTGTTAAAAAATTTAACAGTTTTATCCAGAAGTGCGGAGTAAAAAGAATCTTTGGATGACGAACACGAGAAAGAATCATAGATTTCCAAAACACATCTAGAGAAGTCAATGACCAAAAGGCTCCAGTGTTTGCCGTCCTTGTGCACTGGTGCCAAGACGAGGTCATGAGACAGCAGGTCGACATCTTTAGCCCATATGAGAACAACTGTCGGACCTCGCAGAAGCAGTGAAGAGGCGAAGGAGTTAAAGGTGTATGTCTTCATGGTAGCGGCAGTCCGGCCGCAGTCGTCCAGTAGCATCGCCATGTAGAAATTGACAACCTCATCGTTGAGTTCCCCAGATCTATCCACGAGTGCGACGATGTCCTTGACGGATACCTGTAAACTGTGCGACGGCAAACACGCGACGATGATAGAGAGCGACAACCGGGAGCAGATAACGTCTTCAAGGACCGCTCTTCCATCTCGAGGAAACCCTGTTCTACAAACACCTGCAGCACACAGCAAGCACAAAGGACGGGGCACTATGAGAAAATGCGGTCCTAGCGGCCATGGTCCGAGGAACCGCTACTCTGTGGTCCGAAAAGTTCACGCATAACGTCACCCCTACTTCTGGACCTTCTACACACAATTGATTCTAAACTAGCACTGTCCTTTATATCCCTTCAAGCCTCGAGAAGGAATTCCTTGCAGTCTTTTTCGGCAACACCCGCTGCCTCTGCAACGAGTCTTGCGCGGGAGCCCAATACGGGCACGACTACCCTTCTGGGAGGGCTTCGAGGCTTAGTGTCCCCAGGAAACGCATCAGTGACATTGTGACGACCAGTGCCTCCCGCAACCAGGACTGACAACCTGGCGAGGGCAGGCGGCTCCTGCGACATGGGTGTTTGTCCATGAGTTCGTCGACCTGTACAAGAAATAGCCACCCAGAGAGTTCAGCAGGAGATCAACAACACAAGTTCGCAAGGGCAACCAAGCAAACAGCACCTCACGAAGCACATCGTCACAATCCAGTTGGCGGCCGCCTATACACCTCCCCGAAATCGACGAAGCAAACAACACTTCATGAACGGGCTGACGAGCGCGAAGAAAGCAGAGAAAGTCAGTGCTTACCAGGCCTAGCTACCACTTCACCAGAGCCCACCGACGACAGTCCCAGCACGATTGGCACCCCGGCGCTCGTCGACGCGGCGACGACGTGCTTCAAACCCACAGGGAAACTTGACAGGCTCGAGATGTCGGCGTCGATGACCGTAGACGGTATATTCGTCTCCAGACAAAGAGCGTTGACGTCCACAACATCGACAGGTTGTATTTTCTCCATTGCCATTGTGTCGTATTGTGTTGGGATCAATGTCCCATGGATGTCCAACAACACCTCTCCCCCCCTTAACTTCTTGTCCCCGTACGCTGTGTCTTTGTCGTCGTCACTCAAATAGAGAAATCTATCTCCAAGAGCGCCAGAGGCCTTCTTCAGAACGTCCTCCCCCATCGCCTCGTTGTAAAGTGCGGAGTACAAGGGATCGTCGTATCCCGGCTGAACTGGTAGCTCCATCCCGTCGTCACTGAGTGTTGGATCAATCCGGTCGTCGACGGAATTGTCCTTGTCCAAAGTCGTCAATACTCGACAACCCTCAACGCCTGTCAGTTGAAGTCCTTCGTCCGTGTGCCTCGGATGAATCCGAATCACGGTCGTCTCCAAAGATGCATCAGGGAGGGACATGTTTACAGGGCCCTGGTTCGGATTCATCCGAGCCCCCGAAGTTTCCAATGACGTCGACATGACCGCTTTCACCGGGGAGTCGCTTATGACTGCTAACTCGGCTCCGAGTGTGTTGGGCTCTACATTGGAACTGGTCGCCAACTCACCCTCAGTCGGACAGTCCGCCTGCAGCTCCTTGTGGGCTTCCACGCACAGCATTACTGCATCCTGACACCGATCGTCTGTCATGGCAGATACGGCTTCCTGGTTCGGATGAATCCGAATTTCGTCGCCAGGGTTTTCGGAAACCCGGACCACCCGTTCGAGTTTTGTAGACAACTGTGCTTTCTCGATGGCACGGCCTTCGCGGTTCGGATTAATCCGAACTTCCTTTTGAGGCGAAACGCAACACGGTTCGAGCTTGTCGCTGCCGGACCCGTGGTGTGTTGTCGTCTCGCTTCCCGGAAGGCACTGAGTTCCGGACAACGACGTCGTCTCCGAGGTTCGGATTGATCCGAGACAATCCACCAACCGTTTTTGGAGCTGAGCGAAGCATGTTCCATGCTTTGCGACACCCGCCCCGCCAACCGCATCGACAAACTTTGTTTCGCTGGTGGAGCTAATCGCAGGGTCCTGCTCGCCAGGACGCGTAATACACCCAGGCCTCAAGTCATTCCCCGTCTCCATTGAGGTGCTGCCTGTTACCGCCAGAACCCCACCGTCCTCGTCGCAGTCGACATCGGACCCCTGCCCGTCTCTTCTGTGATGCTTCGTCTTCTCTCCGCTGCGAGGCTTTTTCTTCTCCCAGCTGCCCTTCTTCCCCTCTCTGCCGCCTGCGTGCCCCGGAGACCGCTGTTTCGTCGAACGCTGTTCACTTCCACCTCCGGTACGTCGTTGCCCGCCGCCTTCACCATCCCCGTCGCCGTCCTTTCCGTGAGACTTGCGCTTCACAACTCCTGCCGTTGGGTCGACCTCAGGCAACTCCCAACTCACTTGCTTAATTGACGGGCTTGACGGAAGGGCATAGAACGCGGAGGACACTTCCAGCCATTTATTTGACTGCAATAACTCGAACAGCGTGTCCCCGTATTCGCGAAGAGCAGGGTCGTCCTTACTTCGACGATTGACCTCACTTAATCTCTCCAACACCTCATCGTAGGTGCGAGATTCGAATGTCTCGAGGTCCCAACAATCGTCATATATCCACCCTCCACTTACGTCCCTCACAGCCACTACTCATTCGCCGTCGAGAAGGACTGGCTGGAAATGGTCTCGGTGCCACACAATATCATGGCCCCAATCTTCGGTTGTGGAGAAGGTGTGTTTGTCGCCCATGTGGAAAGGAGTCGCAGAAGCCTTGAGATGCGGATGGTCCGGAGGAACTGGATGGCCGGGTCGAAGACGTTCGGGCTGCGGCGTGAGACGAATAGGCTTCCCTGACGAACTCCTCGGACGGGACAAACCACCCCTCTTGACAGACGCTGAGGAGGACACGGGCGTGGGACCGCCCGAGGTAGGTGTAGCGAGAGGTGTCCCCGGTTTGCATACTGATGGCGACTCAGAAACTTGGGCGTTGAAGATGGCCAATTGCCCGTCCAAATCGAAGACGTCATCCTCAACGCTCTCCTCCTGCTCAATCTCAATATTGAAGTCGTCCTCCTCACCGAATGCCAGCTTGTACTTATCCAAAGTGAAGTTGGCCGGATCGACAACATCCTCGTTAAAAAAGACATATTCCAACCTCTTAATGAAGCTCACAGCGCCGACAAGACTAGCTCCGTGGTAGCCCTGGAGGACCGCAATGGCGACTCCCTTCCGCACCACGTACTGCGGGTCAAATCTCAACCTTGGTTGTTCACCGTAAAGGAAGGAGTAGACCTGGCGCCTTTTCTTCGGAGTCAACTTGAAGAACATGTCCTTGTTCGGGTCATAAACGGGCTCGACCACGACATGGTGGAAATCGCATGGGTAAGCCTTGGACGACACTTCATGGGTGACATACTGCACGGTRTATTCGAGCTGCGTTGTGTCCCCATCCACGGCCAAGACGTGCCTTCCTGCTGAAGCAGACTCCACACCACCTGCGCGTGCGGCTTGCCCAAGAACAACACGGCATCCGCCACACCACAGAAGAAAAGAAGCTGATTGCATAACTGATTCGGATTCCGCTCGCCGTCCTTGTACAGAGCCCCCCCCTGGGTGAGGTTTCCGATGTCCGCGAAAGTCAAGGACTTGAAAGTCTTCTCCTCCACATCCGTGGGTGTCACTCTTTGTTAAACTTTCCTCCAGAGAGCGACGGCGTCGTCTTCAGCAACAGCTCCCTCGTACACCGGGTGAGTCAGTAGCCGAGGATCCTCGCCTTTGAAAAGGATGTGCATCACATCCGGCTCCTCCCAGACGCTGTTTCCGAACTGATGCGTCTTCTTCGATGCCGTCTTCCGAACCCACTTCCCCGTGTAGCATCGGGTAGCCCCAAGCGCAGACAAACATGTCATGAAGGAGAGGTTCCACAGGCAGGGGACGAATACCACCAATGTCCAGTAGTCCTGAAAAACGAGGCCCAGCAACTCACTCAGAGACGCGAATGCCCCAAAGTCCAATTGCGCACGGTCCACAGTACTGCATAAGTCGAGCACTCAAGTGTGGGAGCAGAGCTGATGCCCTAGTTTTCCCAGCGCCACCTTATGATCTATGGCACTCAATGGGTCGACGTTAAACTGGGCCAGCTTCGTCAAGGCGCTTGTCCTTGTCCACATAATGTTGATGCATTCATCAACGCCCCGAGTTTTTTTTTTGCGTTTGGCGCGATCTCCAGTGATCACCGAAAGGACGACACACTTCCACTCCGCCGGGAAATGCTGGTCATTGACGAGGGCCGCCGTTCTCTTGATGTTGTTGTCGTGTTGACACCCGAGAAACTAAGGGCACTTGTTGACGTATGTGGTGTCCGTGAAAAATTTCCTGCTCTCGTTCCAAAGCTTGTCGTCGAGACCTCTGTCCTTGAACTCTTCGAACAGTTGCTTCTTGGACCTGAAGAACGTGGAGTTGGCATTCCACTYCCGCTTATCCATTTCCTCGTACTCRAACYCYACGTAGTGCCACAGCCTCAGCAYAATCCGGTCCATTTTTATTATGTCGACCATCTCCTTGATACTGAACTTCCCCTGCTCGGCCAACTTCTTGCTACTCGTTTGAACCCACACGACGTTAAGGTTCAAGACGCCGTTCAACAGCCTTTTCTTCTCGCGGTCCGTCAAGTCCACCAATTCCTTCCAGCAGTGGACATCCGGCTCCGGAACTTGGACGTAGAAAGTTTTCTCCTTCGCGCCTTTCTTTGGCTTCCCCTTGCCCTTTTTCAACAACGGGTTGTCCACCTTCACGTACCAGACGTGTTTCTTCAGCCCCTGGCTGTCAGTCACAGTGGAGAGTCCGTGCTTGGCCACCTCCTCATGGGTGGGCGGCTTTTCAGTCCAACGCCGGTCGTCGGAAGCAAGGAGTTTCCCTTTCGACCACTCCTCATAGAACTTCAACCCCAAAGAGAAGACGGAGTCATCTGCCATGGCCAGCGGGAGGTAGTATCGAAGTTTTTCAGMCCATTCCTTTCTTTTCTTTGCTTCCGTTGACAKGTTCCAGATAGGCGTGTACGRCRTCTTCTTCATTGCCAACGCCATGAACCGCACCCACTTTCGCACCTCGTCCTGTTTCTTCGAGGCATTGTCGAGCACCACACGCGGTTTGCCCTTAATTTTCCAGATATTGCGAATATCCCGCATAGACAAAACCTGCAAGCGCGGTGGATTCTTCTTGTTTTTCATGTTGTCTTCGCAGCTGACATGGGCGTAGCCGTCTAACTCGTCGTCAGGGAAGTAGATCGGTCTGAACGGCCATTTACAGAAGTTGTAGTAATCAAAGATGGGATGGTCTTTCACCATCATCACCGCCCTCGCGTTATGATGTCCACACACAGGATAATACCAGTATTTCTCCGGGTGTGAGCTGTCGAAGTCAGCAGGCAGAATGCTTACAGCAGGCTCGCCGCTCTCTGGAGGCGCGACGATCAGAGCGAGAACGAAAATGGGCTTCGTGTATCTCATGTCTTTGCGTTCGTAGCAGTCGATCATAGCCGATGCGATGCACCCCTGTCTGCATCTCGAGGAAGAACGCATTGTCGAGGTTAAAGGCGTTGAGGTTAATCTCCACGTCGTCATCCCCCTCCCCCCTGTCGCCCTCGTCTGCTTTCTTCCCCCTCGATGATTTCGACCGTTTCCCGGAAGACTCACCGGTTCTTCGCTGTGTCGACGAGTCTTTTGGCGTTCCATCCCTACCTTCAACCCTTTTCCTCTTCTCAACGAAACCGCCCTCTCGTGTTGTTGGCGTTCGAGCACTCCCTCCTACCTTTCTCTGCCTTTTCAGAGCACCTAGTCCCTCTCGCTCTTCCTCATCCGGAAAGTTGCGCTTGCCTCCCGACTGAGTCTTTTCAGCCGATCTCTCACGGAACAGCCCCTGCTCGGACACCTCCTCCTCACCGGCGACGTTCCCACTTGCTTCTCGTTCCTGGCTCAACCCAGTCTGCGGTTGCGCCGGAGCTGGTCGGGCCCGGCGAGTCGTCTCATCTGACCCACACACCTCTCGAACCTGCGGACCACCTGCTCGATCKCCAGGCGAAACCTCGGCCACCTGCATGCCACGAACGAACGAACCGATCCTTTCGACCAGACCACGAGGAGCCGTTGATTCTGATTCCTGTCGCAACCGTTCGCCATCGCCGCCTCCATGTGGCGTGGACTCCCCAAGCAAACCGTGGCGGCGAGATACATGCAAGCCCGGTTTCAAAGGAGCACGAGGATGGTCGTCCTCCGAGTCGTCTGACATGCCCACCTCTTGATCAGGAGGCGTAGCTGGCAGGCCACCTTGACCTCCCATCCCCCCTTCAGAGCACTCTCCTCCCGCAAACCCAATAAGACCACTGATCGATGTTCCAGGTCCGACGTCCACGGTACTGACAGAGGTACCAGATTTCGCCCAGACCTCGAGGAAGTCTGTGACGTGAACGGCCTCGTCGTGCCCCGGCGCTAGCGGGACGAAGTGAGGCAAAGACATCGCACGACGGCCTTACCCGCCGAACATCCTCCCGGCAACCTTGCATCCCTTTGCGATGCCGTCGACAGAACCATCACTTCTGTAATGCTTCTTCAACGTAAACTTGAAATTGTATTCGCCATCGTCGACCCACTGGACGATGGACCCTGCGAGACGCGTTCTGTCGGTGCGAACGGCGACGAACAAGAGCGGCCCGCACGGTGGTTGCAAAGGGTCGGAGCCGTCCTGGCTCGCCCAGTCCAAATACCAGACACGTTTGCTGTAGTCGCACCACAACTTTTGAGCACGTCGTTCTTCCTCCCCACCTCCAACTCCCCGACTCGTTTCCCTTGCCGGCGACGATGTCGTCCCTCGACGCTCCTCTCCATGCGGGGCGGAACCACCAGCGGAGCGGCCTCGTCCGTGTGAAGCCATTCCCTGAAACACACGGAGGAAATGAACCCACATTCACTCAGAACAGTCAGCACGTCCTAACATCGACGACGACCCACGGCACGTATTCTGTCATCGTTCACCCGGACTCCAAAAAAACGAAGTTCAGTCATAGTTAGACGACAGTGGTCCACAAGCCTGCACGTTTCGGATAAAACCGAGGCATCATGAGGCATCCTCATCACACTGCCCTTAAGAGAATGCATGGTCTAAAACGAAGACCGCGGAATAGATCGGATACATCCGAAGCAGGCGCAGTCGAAAAACCGATGTCGCATAGGCACCTGCACCGGGAAAAGCAACACCTCGCAAGAAGACGAATACGTGGTCATCTGAAGTCGACAAGTGGATTGTAAGGTCCGCCATTGTAGTTCGGATGAATCCGAGCTCCAAAGCGGTGTGGACCACCCCCTTTCGGCCCGTACGAAACCGAACTCGAGTTTTCTTGTCCTTCTGAGTCGGTAACGGTTGTGACTCGGATGCATCCGAATTCGAACAGCGAGGTCCAGAGACGGTCGTCCACAAGAGGTCATCTACAACACGTGTTTTCGTCACCGACCTGTGAGCACTGGGTTAAGCCTATCCTGCCGGAGGTTCGGTTCGGTTGAACCTGAACCTTGCAAATGTGGCTCGGATTAATCCGAGACGGGGACCGGCGGATGGACCCCACGTTCTGTTAACGCCCATCCAGCCATCCAAGCTTCCGTTATTCCCCAGCCGTCGTCCGGTCCAACCAAATTTCGCACGATGTGTCTTCGTCCTTGAGTATTTAAGACGTATGTGGCTCAGATTTATCCGATTTCGAAAGAGGCTGTCCCGATACGTGCGACCACGACAGGCTGCGCCGACACCGTGTGCTTTCGACGTACAAGTTTATCAGACCGTGCGACGTCGTCAATACCCTCTGCGCATGTGGTAAATCCGCAAATACCACCGGTGTGGTTTGGATTAATCCGATTTCGCCGAGGCGCTTCGCTTTGTTGTCGCCCCACCACACACCGGACCTCCCCGCGATTGCCGTAGTGTGTCATTATAATCTGTGCATCATCACGGGGGATATCGTCGTCGTCGTGAGTTTTAGTTGGTTGTTGCTCGCCCAATCCACGAGGCATCGTTGACCCTCGTCATCAGACTGGCCTTTGTAGAGCAAATGGCCGAAGACGAAGACAGCGTTGTAGTTCGGACACATCCGAACTTGGCAGAGTCGAAAGACCGACGTTGTGACTCGGATGCATCCGAATTAGGCCGACCACAAGAGGAGGACATCGGCACGGCGTGTTTTCCTCAATGACCTGTGAGCAGAGGGTGGACCCTATCCTGTCGGAGGTGTGGTTTGGATTAATCCGAGACGGAACGGTCTTTTGGCAGCGTGTGATTTCGTCGTTCACGTTTATCGGAACGTGCAGCGTTGTAAATACCGTCTGAGCATGTGACAAATCCGAATTTGCCGCCAGTGTGGTTCGGATTAATCCGAACTTCGCCGAGGTGCCTCGGTTAGTGGTCGCCCCGTGAGTTTTAGTGGGTTGTGGCTCGGAGCAACCGAAATTAACAAGGGTGGCTCGGATACGTCAGTTGTTGCGCCACCAGAAGATGGTATGGACAGGGTGGGCTGTCGTCCTCCCGTTTGGTCAAACATGTCGCCGTCGACAATACCCTATGAGCATCTGATCGCTCCGTGTCTTGTCCTGTGTCCAAGTCAGCGGAAGGGTTCCTCGCGGCGTTCGGCTGACGCAAGGTTTGATAGGGTTTAAAGATTTGAATTCATGTTCGCCTCCTGTGTCTTCGAATCTGTCGTAGCAGTCTTCGGATTACTGATCTGTGATTGCACTCAGGGGGGGACCAACCTGGGATCGGTTGAGCGACTGTCTGCGATACACAAAGACTGGAGAAAGGCAGAAAACCCGCATAGACACGGAAGGGAGACTAAGATTGATAGAGACGTCGACAAGGAGAGGATGCGCAGCGAGAGAACCTGTCTTTAGCTCTCTGTCTCTCCATGTGCAGATCCTGCGGATGGTGTTGTCCATTTTCGAATTCGCAATGTAACCCGTTAATAAAACGACAAAAAACAAATATAAGAAGAAATTGTTCGTATCGGCGAGAGGAAGATTGGCGAAAAATGTAAAAAATTCGACGAATGTGGAGGACATTTTACGGATACAGAACCGAACGCCGAGCGAACTGCACGACGCGACTTACGCGGGAAACGAATAAACAAACCGAGCGCAATAAAAATTAATTCGGCGTGAAGAAAGTCCATGTGCAAACCAGAAGAGACACGATTCGTGAGAAACCATGTTCTCGTCTTCGACAACATACGACTGAAATCCTTATATCGCAGTTCATGAGAGAGACAACATATTGACGACAAACGAGTAACACTTCAAGAAAACATCAGAAGTGACGACACAATCTCGAAGGGCGTGTCGCAACATTCTCGGGCTGCATTCGCGGGTCCCGTTTCGTTGGTGACCACTCGCCCCGATCAGATGGCACACTCACATGTCCACGTGACAGCTCCTGAACATGCGTTGCGACGATCAGATAGAGCCCCACATCCATCAACGTGGCCACGCTTGTTCAGGACGTGACACGTGGACGTCTGAGTGTGCCATCTCATCGGTGCGAGTGATCGACAATGAAACGCATGCATTCTTGCTCCCAAAACTCCTTCATCTCGCCCCGATCAGATGGCACACTCATACGTCCTCATGTCATGTCCTGAACATGCGTGGCCACGCTGATGGGTGCGAGGCTATATTGGAGCCTCGCATCCATTCTGCTGCCTCATAGAGCCCCGCATCCATCAGCGTGGCCACGCTTGTACAGGACATGACACGTGGACGTCTGAGTGTGCCATCTGATCGGTGCAAGTGATCGCCAATGAAACGCATGCATTCTTGCTCCCCAAACTCCTTCATCTCGCCCCGATCAGATGGCACACTCACACGTCCGCATGTCATGTCCTGAACATGCGTGGCCACGCTGATGGGTGTGGGGCTATATTGGAGCCTGGCATCCATTCTGCTGCCGCATAGAGCCTCGCGTCCATCAGCGTGCACACGCTTGTTCAGGAACTGACACGTGGACGTTTGACTGTGCCATCTGATCGGGGCGAGTGGTCGCCAATGGAACGAGATCCGCAAACGCACCCCGAGGTAAGTTCGTGAAAGAAACAGACCTGCCACGTGGACGTGTGAGTGTGCTATCTGATCGGGGCGAGTGGTCGCCAGTGGAAATAGATTCACGACATAGAGGCACTGATAGAAAACTGACGACGATGGTGGTGGAACACGACGCTGTTGGTTCTATCTCGTTCGTTTGTCTGCGCTTGTCAGTTACGTTCGCTAACTTTGTGCGAACGACACAGACAAGCGCAGTGAAATGGACGAGATAAAAGACAGAAAGAGAGATAAAGAGATAGCGAGAGAGAGAGAGCGCGACAGAGAGGCGATCTCCGCCTTCATCACACGGCCCAATCAAACGTCACGACCAAATGGCCCCGAACGTCATAAACTCCCTATCACACATCGGACAGAAATCCCTTGGATCACACGACACTGCTCGCTCGCGGCGACTAAACCCAATGTAATCGCCACTGCGCGAATCCCGACTACAGATCGCGTACATGTGTGGGCATTCTGACGGTCTACGCAAAACCAGCATGGCAGGACTTTTCAGGTCGGTGGAGATGGCGAGAGAAAGAGAGACAGAGAGAGAGAGCGAGAGAGGGAGAGAGACAAAGAAAGAGAGAGAGAGAG